AAACGGGCTTCCAACATTATATTGTCTCATAGGAGCTCTCCTTTTTCGATAAGGCCCGTTACTCGTAGCACAAATAGTACATTTCTTACACCAGTCTTTCACATCGTCGGAACTGTTCATCCAATAAAAACCGTTCCCGAATTCGCTGAAGGGTATTTTTCACACCAAAATGCCCTCCTGATGGACTGTCGTGTAACTGACGAAGTACTTCGGCTATTCTGCTCTTTGGAATCACCAACTGTCTTCTCTTCTCTGAACCGTCATCACTTTCCAGGACTCGTTTGAGCAAGCCATCTTCCATGATAAATGAGTCCCACTGGGCCCAATACGTCTTTACTACTGAGCCTAGGTTCGATATTTCTTGCCAAGGTGGTCGACGGTTTTCCTCTTTCCATTTTCGGATTTTCTGGATAACTGGATCTCTCTCTTGTTCTTCCCTGATCTTGGTAGGCGTCCAGTCGTCATTGACCACCGTCGTTCTTAGCACTGCTGCTTCCTTGGATTCCGTTTGCAGTGGGAACACTCCGATGGGCATGGTCTTCTGGAAAGAGAATCAGCGTTTCGGTGGCTAACTCCGGCCCGGTGCTCAATCTTAAAATCATATTCTTGGAGTCGTTCGATCCACCTGGCTATCTGACCCTCTGGATTCTTAAACTGCATCAACCACTTAAGGGCGGCATGGTTGGTTCGGATTAAAAACTTCCTTCCATAGAGGTATTGATAGAAGTGCTCTACTGATTTCACTACTGCCAGAAGTTCTCTTCTCGTGACGCAATAATTCCGCTCAGGTTTTGAGAGAACTTTACTAAAATATCCAAGGACTCTTTCCTGTCCTCCTTGAATCTGAGACAGCACTCCTCCAATTCCCACATTACTTGCATCTGTATCTAAGATGAACTCTCCTTCTGGCAGTGGATACCCTAAAATTGGTGCTGGGATTAAATGCTTTTTTAAGGTCTCAAAGGCGTTTTGGCAGTCTACATCCCAGCGGTATTCTCTTGCTTCCTCTGTAAGTCGCGTTAATGGTTTAGCGATATCTGCAAACTTCTTAATAAACCTCCGGTAGTAAGTACACAGTACCAGAAAACTTCTCACTTGGTGTTTGTCAGTTGGTTTTGGCCATTCCTTAATGGAATCAATTTTTCCCTTATCCACAGCCACTCCTTCTTTACTGACTATATGACCCAGATAATTGACTTTACCTTGAAATAGCTGGCACTTCTTGGGGTTTAACATCAATTGGGCAGCTTTAAGTCGATTAAAAACGTTTTCTAAATTCTTCAGATGGTCTTCAAATGTCTCCCCCAAGACGATTATGTCGTCTAGATAAACTAGGCATGTTTTCCAAGATAACCCTCTCAACACATTTTCCATAAGCCTCTCAAATGTCGCAGGAGCGTTACAAAGTCCAAATGGCATAACGTTGAATTGCCATAATCCAGATCCTGTGGTGAAGGCTGTCTTTTCTTTATCTACGGGGTCCATTTCTACCTGCCAGTATCCATACTTCAAATCCAAAGTAGAAAATAGTTTACTTCCGGCCGATGTGTCTAGTGTGTCATCGATCCGAGGCAGAGGATAACCATCTTTCTTGGTAACGTTGTTCAACAAACGGTAATCCACACAGAACCTCGTTGTTCCGTCTTTCTTCTTAACCAGGACCACCGGAGAGACCCATGGGCTCGTAGAAGGTTCTATCACCCCGTCTTTCTTCATTTCCTGAACAATCGTTTCAGCTTCCTCTCTTTTCGCCTGTGGTAATCGTCGAGCTGTTTGACGAATTGGCTTAGCATTACCAGTATCAATTTTATGCTTAACAACGTAGTTCTTCCCGTCTTTCCTCCTTTCGGTACGAAAATATCACGATACTGCCCAAGAAATTCCCTTAATTTCCTTTTCTCAATCTGATTCAGAGACTGTCCAGCAACCGCAACCATTTCATCAAATTTATCGTTGGAATTATCAGACGTTGTCGTCTGACGGATTATGGATGTGATAGGTACACAAGTTCCTACGTTTGTCTCTTTCTTGATGGTCACTGGGTAGTCATTGACATTAATAAGTCTCACAGGAATTTCTTTAGCCGAAGTCACTAATTCTTTTCCAATTATGATTCCACGGCCAACTTCGTCGTCATGATTCCAAGGCTCCATCATAACAGGTGTTCCTTCGTCCACAATTCCCTGTAGCCGCGCTACTATTATCGTTTCACTTCTCGCAGGCACGACTGTATCTTCTTTAACGGCTGCTTGCATAGTGTTGTCATCATGTGGATGGAGAAATACCTCCTCGTTACCAACTTTGATTACCTTATTCTTAAAATCCAATTGGAATCCATGCGTATTCATTACGTCCATTCCTAATATAATATCCTCTTCGATGTCAGCAACTATAACAGTATGGACGAACTTTTCTGTTCCAATTCCTAATTGTACCTGGATTTCTCCATGAATGTTGGCATTTTCACCTGTAGCGGTCCGCAGTCGCAACCTCGTTGGTAACAGTTTCTTACGGCTGTTTATAACTATCGGGCGAATAATGGTTCTTGTCGCTCCGGTATCCACCAACAACGTATGCTTTTTACCATTTATTTCTCCATCTACATATACACTATCTTCACGACATTTCAAAGAAGCTATTAGTATCAGAGGGTCTTTGGTAAAGTTCTGGGTCGAAGCTGCTCCCCTAAGGCCGACGCGTTCTGGTTTTGTCTTCGGTCTTATGGTCTTCGTTTTCTTGTGTGTCATGCTTTTCATCATATTAACGAGCTGGTCAAGTTTATCTTCCTCTTCTTCCTCTTTTACAGTCCTAACTTTACTGTAACCGCCAGAGGCCTGCGTAGCTGACTCGTATTCGAGGGCGGCGGATAAGACATCAACCAGCGTCTTGTGACGAGCTAATCGTAGTGTTCTTTGCATCTCATGATCACGAAGACCATCAATAAACGTTTGAACGGCCAACTTTTCCATCATGTCTTCGGGAGCTGTTGGATAAGCATATCGTACTAATCTGGCGATATCTATTTCATATTCTTGAAGAGCCTCATCTTTCTTTTGTCTTCGATTTTTGAGCTGCGTCTGATATACATACTCCAAGTGTTCGTGGCCATATCGCATATTTAACCTCTTCTTCAGTTGTTCGAAATCATCCGTCTCCTCTACGGCTATGGTCTGGAGCACATCTAAGGCATCTCCTCGAAGAGCTATAGTCAGGTTTACAGCCTTTTCTTTTTCTGACCATCCATTCGCTCTTGCAGCTGATTCGAACTGTTTCATGTAGTTGTTCCATGACGATTTTCCGTCGAAAGTTGGAACTTTGACATGAACATAACCTCCGCTTCCTTCAAATTTCGGCCGTGTTTCCAACTTACATTTCGTCTCGTCTTCTTTTATCTCTACCGGATCTAAAGCTACCGTATTAATTGGTGGTAGCACTCTCGTGTTAGTTATCATGGTCTCTAACTGTTTGATTTTCTCTTCAACTTTATCAAATGTTTTAGAGACTTCTTCAAACTTCTCACTATTCTGAATACATACTTCGTCGAATCTTCTAGAAATATTTTCAATTTTCTCGTCATTTTGTCTAGCTACTTCTTTAATAATTTGAGATGTTTCATCGAATCTTTTATAAACATTCTCATCATTTTTTCTAGAACTCTCTTCGATCATTTGTGAGACATTCTCAAATTTTCCATCGATTATTTTAGTTAAAACGGCTTCTTCTGCTGACTGGAACTGGAATGTCTCTGGGTCGTCTCCATTCTTGTTGAGAACAGTCTTCAGTCGTTCTTGGAGGATCTTCTTGGACCCGCTGCAGTCTTCATCGCGTTCTTCTAGTTGCTCACGCAACTGTTTCACTGAAAGTTCTACTAGCAGCATCTTTGGTCAGGCACACACGTACTTTTTAAATGTTCTTTCGTACAACGATCACTACTGAACTACGCGGATGTTCCCGACGAACAATACCTTTCAAAAGTTCAAAAGTCTTTTTCAAAAATCAAATTAAATTTATCTACAATCCCACTTCTGCACCACTGTTATGTTTATATAGTTCTAATTTATTTGTCTTTATTCTAATTTATTGTCTATATTCTAATTTATTAAAACTCACGATAACTAATTACTAATTTATTAAATAGCTGTACAAATGTATTTATGTCACGTTTCGTTACAAGTAAACCGCGTTTCCCGATCTTCTTATGACTGCCTGCCAAATAAGAAATCTTTCATTTTTATACACAACTGTTGTTATCTCGAAATTTCGGCGAACTTCTTGAATAATCTCGTATTTTGGTGAAGGCGCTAGACTCGTTTTTCAACTGTTTGAAAAGCCTCGAGACGTGGATTACTCATAAAATTAGGGTCTAGAGGTTTCTGTAAACAACTTCGAATTTACTGGAATAGAAAACAGAATTAGTCATAATATATTGATAGTTATAAACGCCATAATTATCGTAACAGTATTCATGCAAATGAGATTAAAACAATAACAAAGGTTTTTTACATATTTTCCGGTATTTTCGCAACATAATTGTTACTTTTAGGTAAAAATAGTAACTTGGGTGTTACTTAACGTTTAGTTAGGAGGAGAGGGTATAGAAAAACGTTACGGTGCGTTACGGGGGGGAGAAAGGGGGTCAAAAATCTTCAAAAATTACGGTAATACTGGAACGCCCCAATTATACACTCGCTATTACATTTCTGATACAAATTCGAGTTTTATATCAATCAAATATTATTTTTGAAAGTATTTTAAATTAAAATTAATTATTCTTTGTTTGACAATGTGAAGGCATCCCTTAATCTCAAAAAAAAATGTAAAAATAAAAAAATTTTATTGGAAGGTCATAGCTGATCTAATCCAGAAGAACCAAATAAACGAAATACCTTTTATTTAATAAAATTTGATTTTTTTGCTTTAAAATTAAAATTGATTCTTTTTAATTTGCGGATATTTTGTGATATGTTGAATTTTGCCTATAAAATAATTTTTTGTTGCAGAAAGATCCCGAAACGTCCTTATATCAACATGACCAGCTGTTGCGCCGTAATATATAAACAATGAAAACTATAAAAATAAATATAATCCCAGAATTTGAAGACTGACCGACTAGGGCCATACTTAAGAAGTACGTAGCATTCGTCGCCATGGTGTGAAAAAAGAAAATCGTGGTTGTGGACGGTGTTTTTAAAGTGTATTATTTATACTGAATGATTTTTATATACAGCTGAAATAGCTCGAGAATTGTAGGAGATGTATTTTAAATTTACAGAAAAAGGACAAACAAAAAGAAAAGTACACTTTTCTACAATAAAAAACCTTTGTTTGCAATATTTCCGAAAATAAAACATATAGTTTTAATGTAAGATCTCTATTATGTGTATTTGAAACCACTTGTTAGTATTTTGTATGAACTTGGATTTAAAAGTGGCTCCTTAATCGAACATATACATGCTTTTGAAGATTTTACTTTCAACTTTAAGATATTGCAAAAAGTTATACAACATACTAAAGTTATAAAAAGTTATAAAACATACTATTTATTTTCTAAATAGTAGTTTAAAAAGGTAGTTTAGTAACACTCTGTATTAAAATTGTATTTAAAGTTAATTGTACATTACATTTTTGTGTCTACCACTTGTTTTCAATTAAATAGTGAGTTTTATATAATATTATCTTCTTTATGTGCCGTCTTCTACCGAAAATTGCCGCATGCAATATATTTGTAGCTTCTGGTATTTGAAACTATTCTCTTAAGTTCTTAACCAGTTTTTCTTGTTTCTGCCCAAATCTCTTCTACGTTCAATCTTGCCTTTTACTATAAGCCGTAGCAGATTGTATATATCGGGAAACATGGGCCAGATATGACGATTTCTTTCTTTTAACGGTTCCTAATGATTCCATCTCTTAATCCATTCCTCTCAATACCTCTGTATTAGACACTCTGTCTCTCCAAAGTATTCTCAGTATGAGTCGGTACAGCTACATCTTTAAAGCCTGTAACTTTTCATAAGTAATTGATAACATTTAATACATGACGGTAAACAATCTTTTTATGTAAATTTCCCAAGTTTGTAACTGTTGTTCTTTGTCTACAATAAGTTTGTTGTTCTCGTTTATTAACCTACAAAACTGTCTTTTTGGTAAGTATATGTAAACTCTGATTTTTTTGTGTATGTAAAAGCTATCTTTCTTCTTCTTCTTACGGTGCCTATCCGTTCCGGATGTTGGCGATCAACATGGCTATCCTAACTTTGCTTGCTGTTATTGTGAATAGTCCGGTTGTCGATGTATTAAACCACTCTCTCAGGTTTTGAAGCCAAGATATTCTTCTTCTCCCTGGTCCTCTCTTTCCAAATACCTTGCCCTGAAGAATGAGTTGCAATAAGCCGTATCTCTGTTCATTCCTCATAACATGGCCAAGATATTCTAGTTTGCGCTCTTTGATGGTGCTATCTTTACTTCGTTCTATATATTCTATCTTGCCATTTTTCTCAGAACCATTTCTTCTTAGAGACAGTTCTATCTAGTTATTTATACCATTCGGGTTTATTCTTATTTTCCCTTCTTCTGTCGATCTGATCTCTAACGATGTACCCAGATTTCCACGTGGTGACTTCCTGCAACTTCTTAATGGTAACTTAAAACCAAGTATTAGTGATTTTTAAGTTTTCCTCCTGGTAAAACTGTATTAACTGATCACATCGATCATTTCTTTTTTTAACCCTAGGCCAAGCAAGTTAGGTTTTTACTCATCACAAGTGTATAGACGGGTTTGACAGTTGAAATAAGTAGTATGAGGTATTACAAAAAGACTCTCATCTAGGGATTCATAAATTTTTTATTGGAAATATTTTTAAATAAACAATTAAAATGTCAATATCATTATTTTGCTCATAACTTATAAACTTGTCTATTTAGAGATTTGACGTCCACAGACGAGTTGTTGAGAAAGAAAAAATACACAAAACAAGATATACTAAATTAAAATCGGTTAATAAACAAAAAAGTTATTGCATAATAACCAAGCAAAACGGCTGTTTTTGATTATTGTTAATAACTCTTTAAGTAATCGATAAAATTTATTTAAATGTATCTGAACTTAAAGATCTCATCGTGTTCAAAGTGTGTGCGAAAGATGGGCTAGATCCGTCAAATAGTTTTTGCACAATTTAATTTGTTTATAAGATTTTTTGAAAAATGCACAAATTTCTAAAGCCGGTCCAGATAATTTGACTGAATGGATCTTAATAATCCGGGGCTTATTTTCTTCGATGAGACATATATTAATATCCTGTGGAAAAAAAAGTTAAAAAAAATTGCGTTTATGTACATAAAATGATTTATTAATAAATAGCACTTTTTAAGTTTATAAACATTTACAATAACTCCGTACTATTTAGTTTAAATTAAATGGCAATAAAATATTCGGAAGGCGGGTTAAAAAAACACAACTTTAAAAAAAAAAGGTCCTGCGACCATTAGGAGCCGAGTTAGTCCTTTTTTTTTTTAAAATCACTGTTACGTCAATTAACAACATTAAGGGCTGAAATTAACCAATCTTTTAGAAGAAAAGTCAAAGTTTTTAACAAAATATTTAGCAAACAAAATAATTGAAAATTGATTAAACAGGAGTGTTGTAAACCAAGAGTACTTTGCGTTCCGACTCAAATGGAAGGAGTGGGGATTGCCGATTGCACTCAAGCCGCGCTCTAAAAAAAGTCGAGCGCCCGTCGAAAGCAGATGCTGTTAGTTTTTACAACTCATTTTCCTGTGACTATACAACCGGTTTGTTGTATTGAAATATTTAGTGTTTTGTTTTATTTAATAATTGTTACAAATAATTAATGGTAAGTAAAATTCATCTGAATATTAAACAAAAACTACGTGTTGTGATATATATTAATATAAACACATGGTTGTATCACGTTGTCTGAATAATATACGGTTAACTTTGAATATAATATTATTTTACTATTATTATAAGTATACGTGAAAATGAAACTATGATATTATTTATATGGAAAAATTATTAAATATTTCTATTTTTATTTTAAATTTTAAAACTAAATTAATAAAATTACTTGCTGACAGAAAAGATCTGCAAATATTAGCTTCCAAATTTTATCAACCACATACATCTGCAGAAATAATTAGACAAAGTGAAGTGCAAATAATTGCATGTTTATATGGCGCAAAAGAAAACAGTGACTTGGGTGAAATACGATTTTACCACTTCAAGAATGCTGCTTTGAATACAAGCGTTAAGTTGGAAAAGTTGCCACCTACAAAGGGTAGTGCAGAGCAGCATAGTTATAGAGTATACCTTCAAGTACAGGAATGGTTGGGCGTGAAGAAAGACCCTACAAAATGGGGATGGAAAATAATTGATCAGAACTTCCCACCTACATATTCATCTGATCCCATGGTTCCTGAAGAATTGGCTAATTCAATCAAATGCAATTGCAAAAAAGGATGCAAAACTAAAACATGTACCTGTCGCAAAAATGGCTTCAAATGTACAGACATGTGCGGTACATGCATAGAAATTCAATGTACTAATATTTATGAAATTATTAATGTAGAAGAAAACGATACAACAGATGAACAAGAGATAATTGATGAAATGTATTTAACTGGGTTTGATGAGAATAGCGACAATGAAAATGAAATGATTTATGAAAGTTATAATACAAGTGAAATTGAAGATGAAAGTGAAGATGAATGTTAACATAGTAGTAGCAGTGACGATAGAGAAATAAAGCGTAGAAAATTACAGTAAATTCAATTATTTTAAAAAATCACTACACAAAATTTCAACTTCTGTAATAACATAAAATTAATTTATTATTTCATTAACAAATTTTTAGTAAACATTATTTAAAATGTTCATTTACTTATAACATTTATTTAATATAATCATATTTGAAATAAATAAATAGAAAAATAACAATAAAAAGACGACTTAAGAAAAAGTTTGTACATTCCGTAGTCATTAGCTGCTTTGTTTTGAATAATTTTGCAATGAAAGTACGTTAAATGTTATTATTTTAACGTTGTACCCCAGTTTAAAAAAAAAAAGAACAAATTTGGTCCACTAGAACCCGAGATATCTCTTTTTTTTCCAAGCACTCTATCTTGAAACCCTGCGCTCGACTTTTTTGGAGAGCGCGGCTTGTGTGCAATCGGCAATCCCCACTCCTTCCATTCTAGTCGGAACGCAAAGTACTCTTCGGTTACAACACTCCTGTTCAACAATTTTCAATTATTTTTTTTGCTAAACATTTTGTGAATAACTTTGACTTTTCTTCTAAAAGATTGGTTAATTTCAGCCCTTAATGTTGTTAATTGACGTAACAGTGATTTTTTTAAAAAAAAGGACTAACTCGGCTCCTAATGGTCGCAGAACCAATTTTTTTATTTTTAAAGTTGTGTTTTTTAACCCGCCTTCCGAATATTTTATTGCCATTTAATTTAAACTAAATAGTACGGAGTTATTGTAAATGTTTATAAACTTAAAAAGTGCTATTTATTAATAAATCATTTTGTGTACATAAACGTAATTTTTTTTAACTTTTTTTTCCACAGGATATTAGTATATGTCTCATCGAAGAAAATAAGCCCCGGATTATTAAGATCCATTCAGTCAAATTATCTGGACCGGCTTTAGAAATTTGTGCATTTTTCAAAAAATCTTATAAACAAATTAAATTGTGCAAAAACTATTTGACGGATCTAGCCTATCTTTCGCACACACTTTGAACACGATGAGATCTTTAAGTTCAGATACATTTAAATAAATTTTATTGATTACTTAAAGAGTTATTAACAATAATCAAAAACAGCCGTTTTGCTTGGTTATTATGCAATAACTTTTTTGTTTATTAACCGATTTTAATTTAGTATATCTCGTTTTGTGTATTTTTTCTTTCTCAACAACTCGTCTGTGGACGTCAAATCTCTAAATAGACAAGTTTATAAGTTATGAGCAAAATAATGATATTGACGTTTTAATTGTTTATTTAAAAATATTTCCAATAAAAAATTTATGAATCCCTAGATGAGAGTCTTTTTGTAATATCTCATACTATCCATTTCAACTGTCAAACCCGTCTATACACTTGTGACGAAAAAACGCTTATTTTCTACTAACTTGACTCGTCTACCCGTACTTACCAACTACGTCACTATCTTCGCCTTTTCCTATTTTGTAGTTAAAATCTCCCATTGCACCGGTTATGTCTTGTTTCTTCAGGTTTTTTATGATGCCTAATTCTTGATAAAACTCACATTCAACTTATTCATCAAGCTATTAGCTGTGAGAGCATAAACCGGAATTATATTTAAATCTAAGGGATGCGCACTTATTTGAATCAACTTGCACCGTTCTGAATATGGAATTAATTTTTTTATGTTTTCTGATTTTATTTTTACTAGGACCGCTCCTACATGCCTAAGTGTCTTCTGCCCGAAAAAAAAACATTGTTGCAGCCTCCTTCTCGCACTTATCATCATTTTAAATCTTTTCATTGCATTAATTGTGTTGTTTACAGGCTGAAAAAGAGTTCTGACGTTCTATTAATGCTAATTCATTGACGACTTACTAGTTCCTCGCCTTTAAAGCCGATTTCTCAACTCCAGGACAAAAGAGTGTCCTATCACTTATAATTCATCCACCCGAAGCCGTTGGTCAGTAAGTGGAGTATTGCTTATAGGTGCAATCACTCGGACGTCAGAGTCTCTTTTGTAATATAGCAGGATGCACCAAATGATTAGGATCGAAATCATCACACGGGCAGGTGAGGTTGACATTTGGATAGAAGAGGCTATACGTTGCGCATCACTATCCCTTGCATCCCATGAATATTATTTGACCTCTCAATTTTAAGTTTTTACAACATGTATTCTGAGTACATCGTTTTGTATACCTGGTAGATAAATAAATATTAGTACAATCAATTAGATAAACTCATTTTAAAAGTTGTCTCTGTGAGATTATTTACTTTATAATATATCTAGTTTTAGACATTCAATAGAAGCAGATTTTGATTTGTTATTTATGATTGGAATATGTTAGCAGAATATAACTGCAGAAGATTATCATGAATCTGATTGAAAATAATTTATGTATTAATTGCGAAAGAATATATCTAGCTTTTCTTGTTCTGTATATAAACAACTATAATCAAATAGTAAAACATTGCACCATTGGTTTATATATTGGTCGACACAGAAGTTTGCGATGTACAAAACAACTTTCTATCATTTCCAAGTATTCATATTCGCTCTTAATAAAAAATCAACGGTATGTATGGTTTGTTTATTAAAATTGACTTGCGGAAATGAAACTTTATTGTGCGATTTCGTATAAAAATATAAATGCTTCGGAGGAGTATCCAACTTTAGACGATTTTGTGGGTCCTTCAAATTAGAAATCGTGCACTGTTTAATGTGTTCTAAAATTAAATTATAATTAAAAGCGAAGCTCTTACAAACCTGTTTTAATAATTTTTTTAGTGAGAGAATATTTCTTTTAAACAAGATTTCGTTAAATTTTTAATAACGGTGTTATCCAAGGAAGGTAAAAAGATAACGGCAGTTTAGGGAACTGTTACGGAGTATTGAGGTATATCATAAAAATCCTAATATTTAATATTATGTTATAGTAAGGCAGACCATTTAGATTTTATTACGACATTAAGAACTGAGGTTGTGAGATTATAAAATAGAATGACAAGACCCATTACATAATTATTACTGAA